AAGGTCTGCTCCACCAAGCAGGAGCTGTTTTCACTGGGAGAGGAAAGCGTTTGCTCTTCAGGAGAGCCCTGTGCTGTGGGGAGACCTAAGGAGAAGTGAGGCTGCAGTTCAGGGACCCGTGGGTAACCCAGGCATGAGCTAAAAAGATACCGAACTTAAAAAAAGAAGATGCACTGTAACCTTAGCTGCTGTGTTAATTACTCCAAGTTTATAAAGAAAAAAAAAGAAGAAAGATCTTTGATAATGAGAAAATGCTAGGCTGGTCAGAAATTGAACCCTGGAGCCAGTGTTTACCTCCATAAATTGACTCACGAATAATATTTTTTAGTGCCCGGATGTATAAGTGGAATCTCAGAGGAAACTAAATTTAGAATCTTACTGGAATGACTTCCCATTTTAAGAAATATAAATAAACTTGTGATGTAAAATTGATGTTTCATTTTAGAGCTAAGTTGGCACAACTAGTATCCCAGATAATTCTTCAGTTGTTAACTTGCTTTCTGGTTGTGATACCAGATTTAGGGAGATAGCTACAGAAAAATTAAAGGTCCAGTTTTCTTTATCCAGTGAACACCTTTAAATTCCTGCCCCTGTGGTCAGTGCGGTGTGTAGCAGAACGTGCTGACCTTGACTGCACTGGCTAGCCAGGAGGAGAGAGGCTTTTGCTGCATGGACAGCCACTAATGCATTTGCAGCGACCAAAGCCTTTGCCCTGTCTTGCATAGAGTCAGCCCCTCTATTCATCAGTCCGGGAAAAGCGGGTCTTTTAGCTTCCTGTTCTGGTTCCTGGGAAACTATTATATCTACTTATTAAAGTTCCCTTAACAAAACATTTGCAAGGGGGCCTTTTCTGAACCTGTTCTCTTTAGTGAGAATGTAAAACAGCTCACCGAGACATGATCATAACCTGATCTATAAAGCAAAAATGATGTTGCCGTCACGTACAATTGAAAGTACTGAAAGAGAGGAGCCGGCCGGTGCGTCTGTGCCGCAGGACGCCACGCAGCAGAAGGGGCTAAGTCACTGCTGAGACTGGCAACGCCAGGAATGTATCACCGAAGCATTTGCTAAGGAGACAAGCCAAACTCAAAAGGCGACGTGGTCTGTGATGCCACAAAAGTGACATTGTGGGACAGAAAAAGGACAGCAACCAGGCAGTGGCTGCCAGGGGCTGGGACAGAAGGAGGGGAGGGACAGGAAAGAGATGGGAGGGAATGCGCAGGGTGAAAGTTTCTTCATCCCCTTGACACTCGCTAGAAGGCAACACACGCATAGGAAGAGCCTGATGCTCTAACGTCACTTACACTTAGACCCCTACAAGCTCACCTGAAGGTGAAAGACTTTTAAAAATATTCATTGCATTAAAATGCTTTTCAGAACTGAGAACAATGTCACCAATATCACTTTGATTATTCTCTTACACTATCGATCCCAGGGATAAACGTAGGAAAATTTTTGAAATGAAAGTGATTTAACAAGAAATCTAAATATGCCAAACGCAACCTCAAAGACATATCTTCACTCATAAAAACGTCTTGTGAAGCCAGACTTTCTCAAAATTCACCCTCTTATTAAAACACTAGCACTTTGCGACATTCTATGCATTTAATACATGTCACATGAATGTGAATCTATCCTGGTATCTTATAAATTAAATAGGTACAGCTCTCTTTGCAAATAACTATGGGCATTTCTGCAAAAGAGGACAGACCAAATTTTCTCTTAAGAAAACATAGACTTAGCCCTGTACAAGGAGGACAAGGTGGGAAGATTGGAAGTTTAAGGCCAGCCTGGACAACTTAGACCCTGTCTTAAAAAAGGAGTAGAAATAGTTTTAGTAATAAAGTAAATTTCTAGGATGCTGATAGCAAAAAAATTGACCTAAAATACTTCACTAATAAAGAGCAGGTGGATAGTTGCTGGTGTTCGATTCTTCCTGCCAGTCAAGTACTATATATGGCATTTTCGCACATTGTCGCTTAAACCCTGTGAGGCGGACAGTGATATGGGTTTGTGTTGTAGCTGAGGAAGTGGAGGCATCTGGGTGAAGTGAGCTCGCCAGCCAGCGGGGCCATCTGCCAGCGGGCTCTGGAACCCACGCTGATGACCATTCCTCCCTGCTGCCAGGGGTTGGGCTGCCGGAAGAGGCGGCAGGGGTAGGGGGCACAAAAGGGCTTTCCAATCCGCAACGGTGGAAGCCAGGCCTGGCCTCCCTCCCTCCCTAGCTCTCCTGGCCTTCTCTAGGCCTGGATTTCCTACAACAGCAACCGCAGCCACAACAGGAGATACAGAATCCAGCGATCCTTCTGTGTCCTTTCCAGCTGTGCCCTCTGAGCTGTAGGGCAGACAGAGTGTAATACAAATAGCCCAGCCAGGTGCAGGCCTGTTTTGGAGGTGCACTTGCCATCCCTGGAGGCAGACGGGTGAACTGAACCAGACCCGCAGAGTGGCTGGAGAAACCCCAGAAAGAGTGGGACCAGAACCCAACGAGCTGCTCCTCTAGAAACTCAAAAGCCAGGCCAAACACAGACATGGGGGGAAAGAAAAATAGAAAGTAAGGAGCCCTTGTAAGCTTACCACGGTTTCTTTTACTTCAGAATGAAGAAACACTTGAAAGGAATCAGAGCAACAGGGGAAGCTCTGAGGGACAGCAGCTGGCGGGAGAAGACCTGTCCCTGTCCCCCAGCAGGTAAGACGGCAGACGGCATCAGGGCGGGGTCGCCTTTGCAGACTTGAGGGGGGCAGGGAGCCTGGGTTTAAGCCTCATCCCGGTCTTTCCCAGATAAAAGCCGCAGTATTGGTTCACGCAGTAACCTTTACTGTGCATTGTACCTGCACCTCACGAAAGCAACAAGAGAGAGAACGGAAAAAGGTGCCTTACTACAAACCCAGGCTCGCAAGGATGTGTTTTTAAAACTGGAGCATCCGGATAATATTGAGTGACAAGTTACAATGACTAGATAATTGGTTTAGACACTTTTCAAAAGTCCTTTGCTCCCCAAAGACACAAGTTATACAAATTCATGGCTATTTTTGGTCTACAGGAAGGTGTTTGCATACGGTGAATGCTGTGTAGCTCAGTAGCCCTAAATTAGAAAGGGAAAGACCAAAAGCATAAGGGAAAAATCATTTTTAAAAATCTTTGTATTCAGAATCCAAAGATCACAACACCTATTTATGCCATTTGGCTTGAGATCTTTCATGATTCGCTCTCAGCGGGTCTTCAAAAAATCCTCTTAGGATGGACACATACCTTTAAGAATTTGCCCCTTGACTAAAGCCAGTTATTATTTTAATGAACTACTTTATATTCATTCACTTTATTTCTTTTATTTAAGTTTTTGGTACTGAAAATCAAACTCAGGACTTACGCTTACCAGGCAGGGGCACTATGCCACTGAGCTATATCCACAGTCTATTCATTCATGTTAGACTGAAGGACACAGATGTGGTCTCTTAGTCATTAAAATGTTTCCTTTAGTTACGGTGTGAGGGTGCTTGGTGAAGTGATCTCTGTTACTAACACCCACGCTTATTTTTATAATTATAGAAGTCTAAGGAAAATGTGTCCTTTAATTTAGTTGATGAATGATTGGGTTCATTTACATAACACTACTAAATCCCATTCCAGTGAAAAACACCAGGGAGGGCAACCCATTTGGGGCCCCTCCTTATTTCAGGAGTTCTTTCTACTCCCCATTCCTTTTGTTCAATAAATTTCCCTACTCTTAAAAAAATGAAAAGAAAAACACAAGGGAAAAATTTACACGATTTAGCCAAAGCAACAAAAATCGCTTTATGTTCTTGCAAAGGACAAAGGCAAAACTGACCAGTCAATTTACAGATAGGAGAATCTGTAAGACTGCTATTTTTGTTCTATCCTATTAAATACTTTATGATCATCCATCTGTGCTGCAAAGTTTTCACATATATTTCTTTAATTTTGATTTTACAACTCGAGCTTTATAGATTTGCATTTATAACTGATACAAATTCACTGGAGCTGGAGTCTCTAAGTACAATATGCATAGCATAGAGAAGCATTCAGATTTGCTGAATAAATTATAAACTTTTAAGTAGGGTAGATAAAATGTTCTAAGTATCCATTAAGGGCTCTGAATAATTAATCTCTTTTCAGAGTTGGGTGGCTGGCCAAGAAAAACATTACCTTGTTATTTGGAAAAAATAATGTATCTTATTATTTGGAAAAGATGGTTTTAAGTAGGATGTGATAGGATGTGCGGAATCTCTATCTTTGGCACTTATTTTATAACTAGGAAATAATTAGGCAGTAGTACATGATTAAGTATTGATTTCAGGAGGATGGCAGGACTGTGTAGTGACAGAGCAAAGAGAGTTGGGTTTCCAAGGTTTCAACAGGTACGAGAAGAAGGGTGCTCCTGGCAAAGGGAGCCAGCCTACCCAGGTCCTGAATAAAATTAGAGATGAGAAATAGTGGCCGTGGGCAAAGCCCACTTGAGGAGCTGAAGGAAAGGAACATCCCCACAGGCTCCAAAACACAGGAAGGAGAGTTTCAATTCCAGGCTGAGGGCAGAGTGGAGCTTTGGAAGGTTGGAGCAAAGGGATACTGCAGAGAAAGCTGTGTGTGAGCCTCGGCCTGCCGCACAACTGACCCAAGGGAAGAGTGCCCGATGCCTGACGCTGCTGTCATTATTAGAGCAGGATGGATGAGCTGCACACCCAGAGTTCTCTGGCCTCATCCGCAGGGCAGCTGTGGGGCTCACGTGAAGCCCCCAAACCCAGGTTAGGGGAGCTCTTCCAAACCATCGATCGTTGTTGTTCCAACTACAAACATGCCTTGCAAATGCAAAGTTCAGCAACTGACTGATCCAGATGCTTTCAAGTGTTCTAAATACATGGATTGGATCACTAACCGAGAATTGAGCAAGAATCAGGCAAAGAGCGGATTAAGTGCACAGCAGGTGCAAATGCACGAAAGCACCGAACATCGCAAGGCGAAGCCTGACTGGGAATCTGCTTTTGAACAACTAGCAAAAGACATCAAATAAAAGGAGACTGTGGCCTTTTCAAATGGTATCTACGGCCTTGAGGGCTACAGGCTCTTACTTCACTCCTGCCTACACACATTATTAGGAAAGGACACTCCTCCACCTGGACATCCAGCATAAGTCTTTTAACAAACAAAAAGAGGCACCATAGGTGGCTGCACGTGGCGGAGGCCAGAGCTCTTCCACCCTGGGCACAGGTGCAGGAAGGGAGCGCAGGCTTGCCTGGTCCACACCTGCCTAATGTTATCACCTAGAGCTGCCTGGACTAGCGGGGTGTCCCCATGGAAGTTTAAGTACACATGTGTTAACAGTTTTTTAAGTTGTTTATTGGAAATCATAGATTTTTTAAAAACACCTAATTATTTTGCCATAAAGAGCAAAACTAAAATAATATAAATATCCAACATTTTGGTATAAAATTAATAACACGGAAAAAAAATGCAAACCAACCCAGAGGTAAAAGGTTTTGTTGGGTTTTTTTTAACAATAACACTGTGTACAATCATCTTTTACTCAAGTGAGCCTGCAGGCTAGTAGTTTATTTTCCCTTTGTTGACATTTTTTTAAAAGATAACCCTGCATTGGAGCACCAAAAAGGTTTTCCTTCCTTTTAAAAAGGTTAGAACACTTCTATTTACAAACACTCCTCTCAGGACTTAAAGTCTGATGAAGGAATTATCAAGCAACTTTCTTCTAACAAAAAAAAAAAAAAAAATGGAAGTGCCTTCATATTTCCTTCCAATTTAAACTTGTTCCACTCTATTCTAAGCAAAAATAAAAGATTTCAAGAGAGTTCTTTCAACAAATAAATTACTGTTCCACAAAAGTTCTGCTGTAAACAAGATCACTTCAATGGTCAGAGAGATACTGATGGTTTCAACCAATGGAAAATTTTAACATTTCCAAGTAGAGCTATGTAGGGTTTATATAGGCCAAAGAAATAGTTATTAAGGAGTCAACTAATAAAGTTAACTATAAAGCTCCTTTGCCAAAATGTGCTTTTGTTCTGTACAGTTGTTAAGATCAGTCATAAATTTTAAACTGTGATGATCTAGAATTCTGAATCTACTCTTAAAACTACCTAGGATTTACCTTTGCAGGCTTGACGTTAGTTAAAAATGCTACATTATCTAAGCAATGTAAACAAGCTTCCAATTTCAAAATAGAAAACAAATAACAAAAAGTTGTTGTAAACATTGAAAGTCTACCTAAGAATTATATCATCCTCCAGTTGCGTATACTGAGAAATCCTTTTGCAGTTTTGTTTGGCCTGTGGCTGACATCATCTTATTAAAGGAGACATCGGAGTTGTCCAGAACAGCTGCTTCTGAGCCAGAGGTCTTACAGCCAGCTCAGCTGTTTTAACTGAAGTCAAAAACAGCTTTTGGCCTTTGTAGAATCTCCCTGGCAAAACCCATCATCTAATTCTTTCTGTGGTAGGGAGGTGGGTATTTGCATCGTGGCCAGATTCTTCTCTGACTTTGTAAAATAAATTTAACTTAATTTATTAGATCTCAGCCACGTCTAATAAAGAATATGCAGCTTTACAAATAAAACACCTTCAATATCACCCTGGCAGCTCTCTCACCTCTATTTTGCTTTTATGTGTAAAACATTTAAAAGATAAAGATCAACTTGGACAGTTATTTGATCAAAGGACCAATTGTTTTAGATAATAAGAGTTCAATTGGTGTTCAATCCTTGTAATTTAAAATTGAACTTAGAACAAAATACTGTAGGTTAGGAGACTACGTTGGGAAGGGATGGGTTGATGTCAGTAATCAGTACAAGGATTTAGATACTAAGTGTTTTATAAATTATGGAGAAAAGAGGCCTTTAATGTTCTATTTTCCTTCTGAAGTCTCTTCCATTATTCTGTTCCCTTCTGTAAACAGCATTCAAATAGCTACCTTAAACACAGACCAATATTCAATCCATAAAAACTAGCTGAAAAATGCATTAAGTTAAAAAGAGCTTATTGGAATTGACAATAATTTCTCCCTAGAGAAGGACCCTGTTGGCAACAAACTGCCCATGTTTTGTGTCATTTTCTAATATTAGGGGGAAAAACACCACACAAAGTACCAGCTAGGGCACAGCTAATGCCTTCTCAAAGTTCACATTCAACTGTAAAAGAATGGTCTGAACACATTTTAAATGATGCTAACACCATCTAGGTAAATAGCTACATGGACATCACCATTAAGTGACTCAGTTGTTTATAATGAAGTTGTAGACATGCTTCTGTGTCTTCTTAAGAACAAGTTTTCTTGGGGCTGGGGATTTAGCTCAGCGATAGAACACTTGCCTAGCAAGCGAGAAGCCCTGGGTTTGGTCCTTGGCACCAAAAATAAAAAAATAAACCTGAACTAAGAACAGATTTCTTTTACCAGATTCATGTATTTCTCCTATGCCAACCATTTCCTGCCCCCACCATCAAGTGCTCTTTAGTAAAAATGAACAGGAATACCTGGTCTAATAACATCAATTTCTTTGAATTGCTGTACTCTGCATTCACTTGGTGTTTCCAAAGCTGCTATTTAACATCAAAGCTTCTTAATAACTCTGTATATTGCAAATATACATGTGGCATTGCATGAGAATGTGAATGTTACATTAGTTTTGTTTTCATTCGTAACATAAACCATTTCTAAAGATGAAATCCTTCAAATATAGTTAGGCCAGGAAGTACAGAAGGTATATCAACAGCTTCTACACTCAAAGAAATATTCTGATAGACTAGGCTTTCGAAATATTTCTTTGCCTTTCACAGTCACTTAATATGGGACGCAGCCAGCTCAGGGTTTTCCATCCAGGTTTGGCTCAGTGACAGTGAAAACATTCAAGTACAGTTAGACAAATGCAGCCCTGCAGGGATATGTGTCCACATAGCTCAGCTTGCAAAGGAGAGCTATCTTCTTTAACCTGCAGTATATCTGACCAAAAAATCCTCTGGAGACATTTTTGACTTCAGGATCGGTGGCATCCCTCCAGAGGTCATAAAGATCTTCTACATGGCCGTGAGATGTCATCATTTTTTCGTAGATACAGGGATGATAAGGAGCCTTACCTTCTCCAGAAAAAAATACATGGTACTGTGGTACAATCCCCATCTTATTGGCACAGAGGCCCATGAACACATCATCTATGTACAGACTAGAATTCAGGGTCTGGGATGCCTCGTAGACCTTGGCAGCTACGTCACCGGAGATGACATACGCAGCACCGGCCGTGTAGTCAGGGTAGGCAGGCCACTGGTACATTTCATAGGAGACATAGTACTTGCTGCTTTTATCTCTAACGGGAGGGGCACCACGGTGAACACGACCAATCCAAAAGTCTTGAACACCAATTTGTTCTAAACTTTGAAGGTATTCCACGAGATTTGGCATGTGAATAAATATGTCATCATCAGCAGTCATCAAGAATTTGGCGTGGGGACAAAAGGCGTTTGCCCAGCTGAACTGCAGAAGTAATTTAAGAGTCAGATTGTAGAAGGAATCAACAAAATCTTGCTGGATGATATCCCCGTACATCTGATCCTCCCAAACCAGTTTCCTCTGCAGCTCTTCTCCCTTCAGTGGATTAGGGGCTCCTAGAGCAAACAGAGTTTTGATGTTGGCGTTAAGTTGAGATCGAACATACTTTTCGTTGCCCCACGTTTTTCTAATCGCAGAGCGCCGGGCATAGTTTTCGGGGGCAGTCTTTATGAACAGTAAAAGGAGGACTTCCTGAGCTTCACACTTTTCCTTGTGGTTCATCAAGTACGGGTAGCGAGACCCTTCCAAGCTGCGCTTAATAGACAGGGTATCATTCACAAAGTCGTAGCTATTGATGAGGTATCTGTACGAGTAGGACTTCATATGGCTCACAATGTGGTTATCAATCGGTCCCCAAAAGAACATGAGGCTTAGAACAAAACAAGTGGCAAGTAGCTGAATAAACTGACGTTTTTTGACTCTTCTGCCACTAACGAACATTCTCATGTCCATTCAGGTCTGTTATTTTATTTAGGGGGAGTTTGAAACAGGTGCTTGCTCCTTGGAAAACAGAGAACTTTGTATCTTGTAGAATAGACATTCATCTTAGTGTACATTGGTCATAAAGATGGGCAAGGCATTTCCTTCTCCACACAGCATTTGCACAGGACACCATCTGTTCTAGGATTGCAAAAGAATGAAACACGCGGTAGGACGAGGACGTGGGACGTCACGATCCTTCCACCGCGGCCTCCTTCATTGTGTCCAGCACACAGCCCCGCACAGCTGGCTCATGCGCTGCTTTCCTTGAGCATGAGCTGGGACCTGTTGGAGTCCAGAGAAGGAAAGAATAGCAAACAAATGGGTTACTGCATCACCAAGAAGATACCCGAATGATTGCCCCCCCAAAAGCAACGAGGTGTTTAGCATTCAGCAGAGCAGACAGCTGTTCAGTTTTTTAGAGGAATACAGGGAAAAGGCCAGGTATGGTGATGCATGCCTGTAATCCCAGCACTCAGGAGGCTGATACAAGAGAACTGCTGTCTGAGGCCAGCCTGGGCTACATAGTGAGTTCACAGTACAGTGAGATGCTCCCTCAAAACAGACAAAAACAAAAAAAAAACGGGAGAAAGGAAAGATAAAAAACTATGAGATTTGACACTGTCTTTCCATTCAAAATAAGACATCCTTTTCTCCTTCTCTTAAAAACAAAACAAAACTTCCAAATAGTTATCATCACCTATACATAAAATTCAACTGCCACAAATGGAATTATCCAGGAATATATTAATTTGAATATGTCAGGATGAAATGAGTTAAGACAGATCAAGGCAAAATAGTAGATGAAAAGAAAGTTCATAGCAATGCAAGTCCATTAATGGTTGCCCTAACCAAGGTAGGAATAAGAACTATGAAATATCCCAGTTCACAAGCAAGGAGTCAGAGTTTGCTTTTCAAGCCATGTTATAAATTCTCTCCAGGATTGCTTCGTGAGCCTCAAATCTACACAGTCATCTTCCTTCCTTCCTTCCTTCCTTCCTTCCTTCCTTCCTTCCTTCCTTCCTTCCTTCCTTTTTCATGTGGAGACTTAACAGACTCTTCAAAATTAACACATTCTAAACTAGGAATCAGCAGGGCCACAAACTGCCTCGTAGTCAGGGAATCTGGGGCTTGCCTCGTAGTCAGGGAATCTGGGGCTTGGCCACCTTAGCATTTGCTGCTCTAAGTCATGCTTTTTTTTTTTTTTTTTTTTTTTTTGTATTTTAGGGAAGGGTCTACAGGGTGTTCAGAGTCTCACTACTAGATCGTAGTGATCTGTACAGCCTCCCAAGAGCTGGAATTACAGGCACATACCACCACGCCCAGTCTCAGTTGCTGTCTCAGCACACCTTGGGGACGGGGCCGGCACGGCAGGCCAGAAGATTGAACCCCCAGCCCCTGTGCCTGTTTGCAGGTGCTTTAATCTGCTGAGCTACTTGGCCGGCCCCAGAAACCTGCAAATTGAGAGGGTGCTACTTAAAGTGTTTATACAGAGTCAATGGGTAGATACAGTTAGAGGGGAGTAAACAGTTAATTACCAAGCACACAGATGCCATTCTAACACATTCCACTCACTTCCCCAACACCGTTTCCATCTTCTTTTGATCTGTCCTGACGGCACTTCATTCATCTAATGCAGAAATCCAAAGTCTACCTTTTCCTCTACTTCCATATCCAGTTGTCTAATCCCACAAGTCACTTCGGCTGCATCCCTTCTCACCCCATCCCATCACCTCTCACCCAGCCTGGGAGGCAGGGAAAGAGACTAAGGGATGCCCAGCTTCATTTTACAGTCAAACTTTGCTTTATAGTCAGAGTGGTCTCTCCAAAACTCAGGTCAGCTGAGCTCTTCAGACTCCTCCTCACTCTCCAGTTAGCACAACATGCAGTCCAGGTTATACCTCAGCCCAGCTCTGGGCCCCGTCAGGCTCTGCTCCTCCAGCCCCCACCTGAGCCTCCACCTTGGGTCCTACGGGAAGACCTCTCCAGGACACCTAAAGGGGGCCATCCCCTTGAGCGTGCTCCTCGTCTGCATGGCACAGCTCCTTCCTGCTCCCTGAATTTGGGCATTCTCAGCACAACACTGTAGCCATCCTACCCTCAGTATCACCAACATCTGGCATCCAGTAGGTGTGGACCAAACACTGGCACCACGAACCACGCTGGGTAGGAGCGGCCTTCACTCCAAGGGCTGCTGGCTGCTCAGGAAGGACTGAGGGGTCCCAGGCCACCAGATGTTGCCGCAGATGATGTCTGCGCCACAGCTGCCCACCTCCTTTCCCTTTTCTTCCCCCACTAGGAGACAGCACCTTCACCTCCTCCAGGATGCTGTCCCTCGTGTTTATCACAAACATTTCCTTGCCTTCAAGTAGACGCTGTCTCTCAGGGCTGGGAGGGAGAAGGTGACACAGGCAGAGTCCCGGCAAGTCAATGCCATAAGCCCAGGACAGAGGCTTCCCCTCCCTTGCTCTTGGCATAAAACCAACTGCATGTACTCTGTGCCCTACAGAGTGGGCCTGGCTCTGGCGGGGCTCCTTCCATACCTCTGGGCTTCGGCCTCTGCTGCCCTTCCTGTTCCTCATGATCCTTCCTACCTGGGGCCAAAATTGCAAAATCCAGTATTGAAAATCAGGCAGGAGGCTAGAGGAGGCCCCGCTAAGACCCTGGCCAGAGCTAACCAGCATAGGAGCACTTTAGCCCCTACAGCGGCCATGGTGAGCATTTTAGCAACCAGGTCCCCAAACTGCAACCCCAAACCCACTTATTCATTGCAAAGGCCAACCCTGAGTACTGAGGTTTTAGTTTAGAAAAAACACCTCTCATCTGATGCTCAGCTGCTGGGTTGACTTGGCTCTCGTGTGCCACTGGTTCTCCACCTCTGCTTTAGAGTACAGATTTTAAAACAGCAGGCGCTACGTAGGCAGACACAGGGGAGGGGAAGGAAGGAAAAAAGGAATGGAAACAAAAAGAGAGAGAAGAGAGAATGTGTCCAAATAGAGTTTCATGTGAAACTGAGTTGGATGTGAAACTGAGTTTGAGGTATGTAGCATTCTCGGATGTGATGTACAGTACATTGATGATCTTCACCTTCTGCTCTAAGGGACAGACAGACCTGGGTCCCTGGTCTCTGGGTGACCTGAGGAGGGTGGGAAAGACGCAGGAAACACGGGTTTCTGGCAATGGCACCTGCCTGACCCTTATAAAACCTCTTCCACTCCAGCTACTTCCTCTCAGCCTTCCCAGGGCATGCAGTCAGGCCAGGGACCATCCTTTGAGTGTCCAAAGCAAGGGCCCCTCTGTGTCCTCCACAGAACATGATTAAAAGAGCTAGAGGCTTAAAGCAAAGTTTCCAGATTCTTAGAGGCAAGGTTTAGGATGGCACAGGGCACCCGTATTGAAGAGTTCCAGGGCAATTCCCAACTGAGAGGAATCTGCAGTTTCTACTCCAACAGCCTCTGGGATGGGAACAAAGAGAGAGACCATCTTTGGAACTCACCAGACTCCAGGCAAGTCCAGCCCCCAATTCTGGCTGGGCACAATGAGCGCCACGCCAGGCCCTTCCCCTCCGTCCCCCGTGTTTATTGGCCTGGGTTCAGGAGCCTGAGCTGCTTGCTACACTCCTGGCCCGATGCCCACTCCTCTAGCCCCCAAATGTGCACTGACTCACACAAGGTGCCCACAGCCCCAGTGAACCTGGATCCAGAACTCCTCGGGTCAGTCCGCGTGTCGCCACTGCTGACATCGCTCTAGAAGCCAGAATATTCATGTGATTCCTGGCTGTACACGGTCACTGTATTTTCCTCTGTTTTTTCCACTGTTCCAAATAGACCTCAATGAGTACAAATGTTTTCTGAAAACTGACAAAGGGACTGTCCCCGAGCCAGCAACCCACGCTACATATTCAGTACAGCTCGTGGAGTTCTACAACAAGGTTTCTCCCACTCGCCAATGTGAATGTGTAGCCACTGTATGCAGACCTCGCGGACAACCTGGTGTGATGCAGGGCAGATAAAGTTTACACTGCCCAGCTTCAGGCTGCTGATGAAGAACATCTGGAAACCTCTGGAGGCACAGAGGGCTTTTCCAGCCCAAAGCAGACACGTCCCGACAGTCTAAACTCCCTAGCAAACCTGCTGGTGCTGGCCTAGCACCGGCTTTGCTGATGGAGGCGTGCAACCGGTGCTCACCTCACTCTGCTCCTCTCCTGCTGGTGTCTCAGAGCCACTCTAAAGCCCACGTTTCCACTTCCTGGGGAGGGCACAGGGCAGAAGCCCACCAGCAGGCTGATGGGGTAGAAGAAAATGCTGGGCCTTCCAGGAAACAATGCAGCAACAAAGGCCCAGCTCAGCAGCCGCCCACGGCGGAGTGCTGTGCGCGCAGCTTCCTTTGTGTGCCCAGCCGGCCACTGGCCAGTCAGCAGCCCGAAGCTCAAGGCTCATCCTTGTGTGGGGCCAGGCCGATTGTGTGAGCGCAGGCCTCCCTCCCATCAGGGCAGGGCAAATATCAACATGATATTCCTGAAGAGAAACAAAAAGCCAGGTGTCTCCAGAGCCTACTGGAATAGGAAATGGAGCACTGGGAAGAAAGGGCAGAGGGAAGCAGGCAGGCACTTGGACTACGACTTGGGTTTGCTACCCAGTAGTGAGAAAACAAGGAAGGGGCCGGGGAGATGGCTCAGTAGAACAAGTGCTTGCCTGGTAAGTGCAAGGGACTGAGTTCAATTCCTGGTTCTAAAAAAAAAAAAAAAACAAGGAAAAGAACATCAGAAAGAGGTGATGGACGCCTCCTCCAGTACTTGCCAGTCTGGGAGCGGGGCCCCTGGGTTGCTCAAAAGAGCATTTTTTTTTTTTTTAGAAGAGAGCTCCTTAAACTTCTCTGGAAAACCCTAGAGTTTATGTCTAGGACCTTGTATCTCGGCTACAAGTTTCCCTACAATAGGTTCTTCTACCTTGCCCCAGCTGTCAAGTTACTTCCCAGTGAGTCTACTTTTATGACTCTGAACTAAAATCAAGTCCTTTAAGAATGCTGAACTTTGAACCAGGATGGGAGGCCTGCTCTCTAAATTCAAATTAACTTCAGTCTCCCAAGTGCCAACAAGCCCCTGTAAGGATGCCAGTATTTCTTGGGTGAGCCGTACAAGACAGGAGATGTGCAGTCTCGAAGCACTTACAGCCTATCTGAGAAAAGCCTCATCTCCCTGCACGAAAGCATATGCAGCTCCCACGGCCGGGTGCCAACGAGTCCGGCGTCCGGCGACTCCACCTCAAGGTGCGGCAGAGTCCCAGCGGAGAACTCAGGCTCAAGGAGGATTTCAGCAAGGCCTGAGGAGGAGCAGGGTCTAGGCAGCAAGCTTTGCTTCAGATGAGAAAAATGTATGCATGGCAGACACTGGAGAAAGAGGGGTGTATTTGAAAATGGGGAGGTGGTGAACGTCGGCTTATAAACAGCCCGAAGCCCTAGCGGCCACAGAGAGCAGCCGAAGGTGCCGGTGCACGGCGTGTGTTTGGAGTGACAACTGCCTTATTCAGTATTTATGAAGTTTCAACCCTAGGGATTAGCCAGGCAGTTGGTGTCGCTGGACAGGACAGAAAGGAGAGCACCTGGAGCCCAGGACAGCAGGGCTTCCGCCCTGAAGGCCCAGCCCAGGGTGCAATCGGCCTGTTTTCTGTTGCCATAACAAAATACCTGAATCTGGATACTTACCAGAAACAAGTTTATTTAGCTCCCAGTTTTGGAGGCTGAAAGATCCACCAGCCCCAGCTACTCAGCAGGAAGGAAAACAGTTGGGCAGCTGGGGGGCCTCACCTCTAAGGAGCAGCAGCTCACTCCTTTCTGAGCTGCTAACCTCAGCGCCTTGCACCAGGCCCCTCCTCTTAAAGGGCCACCACCTCTTAATCCCACCACCTTGGGGCCAGCCTGCAGCACATGGACCCAGGGGACAGAACCCAACCAAACAGTAGGGCTAAGGGACACCCTTTCAGGAAAAACAGGCCCGCAGAACCTGATGGATACGTGGGATGGAAGGAAAGGAAGAGTGAATGCAATTCAAGCGTTACAGAGAACAGGTGGGAAAACTGGTTCCTGAGAAGTGCTGGGGTTGTTTGGTCTTAAACTTGTGCCACCTTTGAGTCTTGGAGGAGATAATGCGGTGCCAACATCCAGCAAGTCACCGAAGACTGGAGCCAGATGGGACTGTAGGGCGTACGAAGACAGCTGCTTTTGTGGACATGGATGAACGCTCCGGGGAGAGATGGCAGACAGATCCAGAAGAAAAGAACTCAGGGAGAAGGCATCCAGGGAGAAGGAGCCATGCGAAAGGGCTTGCTCATCAGAAAAGTAACTCGGGCTTCGCAGTTGGTGGAGTACATTAGTGGCATAAAGGCCCTGCCACGGAGCTCGGGGCAGACGAGACAGACACTGGTCTGCAGAATTGTGCTGGAGCAACTGGGCACTACAGATGTCCCCATCCCACAGCGGGCGGGCTGCGGCAGAGGCGACACCGACCCTCTGACCTGAGGGCTGAGTGATGTTACCTAGAGATAGCCGGTGGATTCTAATTTCCAAAACGTATATGCTTTTGTTCCTGCCCATGTTTCTCGACCACCACTTCTGGCCACTGTCGTAATACAATGATAGCATCTAACAGGAAAACTATTTCTGTGTTTTATTTAGTACACACACAACACTCACAAGTCTAAGGAAACTTTTTTTAGGGGGCAGTATAAGGTTAGACCCAAGGCCTTCACACTCAGCTATAGCCATCCATAGCCCTTTTAATTTATTTATTTATTTATTTTTACATTTTGAGACAGGGTCTTGATAAATCACTAAGTTGCCCAGACCATGTTCAAACTTTGGGTCCTCCTGCCTCAGCCTCCCGGAATGCTGGGCTTACAGGCGTGCACCACCAAGCCCAGCCAGGAGCCTTATTAATGATATGCTGACCATTCTGGTTGTGTTACCTCCCACAGACTCAAGACAGTGTGTCAATGAGAAAGGCAGCTATGTGGCTTCATGCAGAATGACATTTCCTTGGAGACCTTAAAAGTCTAGGACAGAGGCAGTCTAAAACACTCGCTTCTCCACTGAACACCGCCTTGTGTGCTGTCTGTCTGCAGTCTCCCACCCTTTCTTCCATGCCCCCTTCCACATCTCAAGTGTGGGAACCACAAAACCTTTGCTCTCCAGTCAGCTGTTCTGCCCGTCCACCCCAGAGGCCCCTGACCAGGTCACTCCTGGCTCTACTTCAACAGCCCCTTCAGAGCTGCTGCAGAAACCTCCCATGCAGACCAGTGAGCCACCACCGGCGGGTCACCACTGCTCCAGGCAGTGGCCACCACCCTGTTCCTGTCCTGGGCCTGCTCCTTCTCCCAGTCACCTGGGTCTGGCCCCTTCACGTCCTGCCTCCCGGAGGGGACAGGAGACATCAATTGTCGCTCCTCATTACCACAGGACTTCTTCGCAGATCCCCAGGCCTGAAATTTTATTTTACAACCCACACTTTAACTATGAAAAATTATATGCCTTTTCAACAGTTATGCTATTTTTTAACTCAAGTTTGTGTTCCCTATATAAATCCTATAAAAGAGAAATATTTTACCCAGTAACTATCTTTGGGTGTCTTTATGGCTATGATTTTAGCCATAAAACAGTAGCTCAAGCCATGAGCAAAGTGTAAAAGCCATTTAGAATTATCACTCTTCTACCTAAAATATATCATTAAAAGTTATTTCTAAATTCAAAGTTCAGAGATCTTAAATTCCAATTTAGTAAGCGTGGATACAAAGACAGAGGGGAAAGTGAGTTATAAAACCGACTTACCATGAGAATCCAGTTCTAGGATCCCCACCTATGTAAACTAAATTCTCCATTTCTTTAGCAGTTCAATATGGATGTAGATTTGTTTACTAGTTATAGGAGAAATAAAGGTGGAGAAATAAATGAAAGCAAACCCTAAGTCTGTATTAAGGAAATGGTGCCATGGGATAATAGGACTGCACTATACAGTAGTGCTGGTACCTTAAATTACTGAATTTTCCAGTACCTAGTCTGATTATGTGAAATTTACAACAACAAAAATGAATCATGAATCCCAGGCAGCTCCGAGCAGCTGAGCCCTTCAGAGTCCCTCCCAGTTGCGCCTGCCTGGCTTCCTGGCACGGCTCTTCTGCGGTTCCCATCAGGATGGCAGCACTGGGAAGTAGGTGGGGCAGGGCCAAGGTCCACGCTCTGGAGGGCAACGCTGCTGAAGCTTGGGGGCGTTTGTGCTCTGCCACCGCCTGCGTGTGGGACGCACTCGGTCTCATCCTCCTCTCTAACGTAACCTTTGCCTCACTGAGCGTGCATGGCAGGGACTTGCTTCTTATCTTTGCTTTGTCATAATGCTTCTCAACAAAGGGCAAAAGTGACTTGCTCATCAGTTTGTGTTCTCTGGATATAAAGTTTTTTCTCCAAACACCAGGAATCCAAGGACAGCAATCCAAAGTGGTAGAAAGCAGGGGAAAGAGATGTGATGGGATAAAGGAGGGAAAACTCAAAGAGGATGTGTTAAGCAAGTACTTGGACGAGGGAGATGGCTCAGTGGAATAAGTGCTTCTCTGGCAAGCACAAGGGCCTGAGTTCAATCCCCGGTTCCACAAAGAAAAAAAAAAAGAGAAAGAAAGAAAGAATTTGATGAGCAAGTATCAGGTAAACTGAAATCTGAGGAGTCATAAGCACACCGGCACACCCTCACCCTGGGGAAGCCATCATTCTTTTAGTCAAAAACTATATCAAAATTGTTTCATGAGTCAGAGTGGAAAAAATGTAAAGATACATTCAGAGTTGGCTCGTAAAACAGCAGGCAAAAGGTAAAGATGACTGATAGACATAAACCAATATCCATCATGAGAGATACAGCCAGGACACGAGTCCAAAATACAAGCTCATCTGTCAGTAGTAACTGCCTGCCCTGTTAATGTGACAACAACTACTCCCAACTCTATCCCACACTACTTCACACACTACGATGCCTTTGTGGGGGCTCCTAGAAATCAACATTCGCTCAAGCTGATATTTTTCAGCCTTACATTTCTTAAGATGGCTTTGTCAGCAGAAAAACTGAGCAAGGGACATTTGTTTGGTTGCAACTGGATTGTGGAATGGGAGATTTTAGAAAATTCATCAGTTAATCTGATATTGGAAAGCCATTTACTAAACCAGATATGCTGCAAGGGATGGGATTCTTCCAAGGAGAGAAGGTGGAGAAGGTGGGAACTGGAGACAGCTTTGAAGGGGCAGTGGCAAATGAGCAGGACCTAGGGTAAGGGCTAGGATTCCACTGTGGGCCTGGAGAGGACAAAAACAACAATTGAGAATGAAAGACTCTAACAGAGAGTGTTCAAATGGATTTAAAAGAGGGGTGCAAAGAAAAGGGGGGTGATATCCGAAGAGAGACTCACGTTGGAATTTTTGAAAGAATACAGGTGAAACACTTGTGGGTAGAGCAGAGAATGTCAGGTTTAGTTCGTTAGAAGCTAGGATGAAGGAAGACAGTGGAGTCAAGGAGATTAAAACGAGAGCTGAGGTCAAATAGTGGGAGGGAAAATGACAATTCAGAAAGAGGGTACCATTGCCTGCTAGCACTTTATCTGTCTTATTTGGGATACTATATCTAAAAAAATCATCTGATTGGTGGTTCTACCACACAAAGGACAAAAAGCCAAATAGTATATAACGGTTCTAATAATATGGTTCTGTCTTTGCCATCTGACGTTTATTCTCAGAAGCTAGCTACTATCATGTAAGCACCTGCACTGTTCCAGGCGGTACAGTACACCGCTCAAATTCAGGCCTACATTTCACTGATTCTACAGATACTAACTTAGCACATACCGTGTAGGAAGCCAAGGGCAGGTAGGTGGGGCAGCGTCGGGGATGTCTCAGGTGTAGATCCCCCAACAGAGTCAGTAAGTGTTCCACTGTGACCTGGAATCAGGACCTGGTGGAGAGAGGGAAAAGCCGAGGGCTTTAGAATGAGAATACAAAAAGTAAAAGTTGGTCTGTCGCCCGCCCCTCCCCTGTACTGGAAAACGCACCTGACGAGCCTCTCACTGCAGCAGTGTCTGCCAGTAACGCACCGCAATGACTCACTGACGAAGCGTGATCACTTCCTTTCTCTCAGAGTCATCCATGTATCTTTACCATTATGGGTTAGTTAGTAAATAACTAGCCTTTTTTAGCCACCAAAATACTGAGCTATACTGATTTAAATATTTATTAAAGTACTGATTTGATAGCTAAGGACTACTTTTCACATCCCAAAATACTATTGAGACTGAGAAGTATCATTCCTTTTTTTTTTCTTCTGGTACTGAGGATCGAACTCAGGCCCTTGCACTTGCCAGGCAGGTGCTGTGCCACTGAGTTATCTCCCCAGCCTGAGAAATATCATTCTTAATGACTAAAAATAGTCTTCCATTATCTTTGACAGGAAAGAACACAACGCACTTAAAATACCTTTCAATGACAATGACACAGACATAAGGGCATAAAGCTGTGTAAATTATAGAGAAGAAAACCTAATGAAGTCAGTGTTCTAGCTGAGTTTGCCTAGCACCCTGTCAGAAAGTTGTAGGAAGAGTTGTAGCAATGAAGGAAAAGAAAAATATTAAATCTTAGATGAATCTTAGGCTGTGTAACAAAGTGTTGAAGTTGACCTTTGGGGCTTTTTGGCCTACAGTGGTGGAAGTCCCTCCCATAGCTGCCTGCCTGCTTCTAGTATTAAAGCCTTCACAGTGAAAGATAAATCTGAATAATAGGATCAAAGCCAGTCTCTGAATTCACGGCATCCAAATGGGAAAAGGTCACTTGAACTGAAGTTCACATCTCACCTGATCAAGTTTTTCTTATCTTGAAATATAAAAATTCTTGTATCCTCTTGCCATATAAATTATCACATAATAGATACTGCCCACAGTAAAGAAAGCAATGGTACATCTACACTGTTCCAGCTACATCTTCTGGGGCAAAGACTTGATGTCAAGCGGCAGAGTCCTTTCAGTAAGTTCCTGAAGTCTGTTCAATTGAACATACATCAAATAGGGTATATTTTGTTACTTGGAGAAGAGAGCATTTCCTTCTGACTTTTTCTGTTTCTCTGGAACTCCAAGTACTGAAATGCAAATTCTAATGCAGTTGGGCCTCTGAAAGAATTCAACCCTTTACAATTTGAAAGTCACCAAGTGCAATGATTCTAGCCAGAGCGACCCACTTTTAAAGCTGACCCATTTCAAAACCCATGAGTTATTATTCAAGCTGTTCTATATTTGAGAATTAGAAAGTTATATCCTTTTACTACACTCTCCCTCTTTGAATGCCTTTTTCTTTTAATGAGCAGAATATATTTATTGAGGGAAAGAAAGCTCCTGTCCAAGAGAGGGACAGGAGGGGGGCCCGGGCAGGTAGTTCCCCCTGAATGGCTTTTGTAAAAAGCGAAATTTGATTTCCATTTTTAATGAATCACAGTGTGACTTTTTGTTTCTAACTCTTGAGAGACTGAACTTTATTTCTGAAAACTCATCCCCACCTGCGGAGAGTTCTCTGGGGGTGAAACAGTTCTGAGCATCTGCACTCTCCATCTTGGTACTCAACTCACTTCCTCCAAAAGAAAGTCTCTGGGTTCAAGCACTTTCCCTGTCAATACTCACCCCACCTCAGGTGTGGGGGAGCCAGCCTCATCTTCAGGGCGGGGAGAAAGAAGTGAGGAGGGGACTGGCCTTGTGAGTCCGTGGTGAAAGCCTTCAGGTATTCAGTATCTTGCTTTGCTTTGGCCCCCAAAGGTTCCCCTCCTCTCTCCTGGCAAACTGTAGCATAGGCCCCTTGGTTTGTTTCAGAAAGCTAAAACCTGGGCTGCTGATCACTGATCATCCTTCCAGAGTGATCCATGGGAACATTTTTGCACCACAACGAAGCGCATCCACTTTCTCTCATCCTTTTTTCTGGGTCAATTTCAGCTTCTTGCATTCCTCTCCCTTCCCCCCACAGGGACCAGGTAAAGTTTCCCAAAATAAAGGCACAGAGGAGCCAATCCAATTCTGATGGAGTGCTTTCATTAGAACTGTATCCTAAATAGCAGCACCATGCCCTCACCAGCCACTCTGCGGTGACAACACTGGTGTCCCCTTAGCACAATCCTAACCTATGAGGACTGAAACTGGAAAAGGATCTAGCGTAGCTAACGCTAATTAAAAGTTGCTACTTTGTACCTAAAGGGTACTTGAGCAAGTAAGCGGCAGTCAGTCGCCCCCAGATGCCGAGTAAAACCGGCAGTCAAAGTAAAAGGGAATCTAGAGTTGCCACCAGAAAGATACTTTAGTTTTCTAGTTTCCCCTGCCTGCCCGCCCACTTTCTTGCTTCCTTTCCCCAACCTGTAACTCGCCAGAGTCTGGCCGGGCCGCCAGTTTGCCCACTTCCCACCGGTGGCCCAGCTTTGCCCCGCGAACCCGGCGCGGCAGCCGGAGGCGACGGCCAGCTCGGGACCCCGCCGGAAACCGGGCCGGGGACTGCGGCGCCCACCTCGCGGCTCCGCGCGCCTCCGGCTCTCTGCATCGCCGAGCAGCAGCCCGGTCGACCGAGCTCCCTCGGCTGGACCCACCGGGCCCCGGGTCCCTAACCCCGCCGGAGCCTCGGGTCTCCAGCCGACGAGCCGCACCCACGCGGCCGCGGCGCGGCGGCTCACACAGGCCGGGCGAACAAAGGCGCCGGGGAGGGGACGCGTCCTCCCGGTCCGCGCCTGCCCGCGCGCCCCAGTCCCGGGGTTCGCTCCAGCCTGTGGTCCCGGAGCGCGTCGTCCGCGCCTCGCCTCTCCCCGTTTCTGTCCCAGGGAGACCTCGCCGCGTCCAGTCAGCCCGGCCCAGCCCGGCCTGGGAGAGCGCGCTCGGCTGCGGAGCGAGCGCACCGGCGGGAGGCGCCGGGGCCGGCCCGGGCGGGGTGGGCTGGCCGGGCGGCGGGAGGCTGGACGTCCGCAGCCCCGCCGTGGACTGGGTCGTGGATCGGTGCGTAGCACAAAGGAAACCCATCAGGGACCTGGGCTTCGCTACCCAAGCGCTCTGAGGACTTCCCCATCTAGAGAGAGAGGAAAGGCCACATTTCTACCCAGACAGGGCCTCGGCCCGGGTTGAAACGCTGCTGGCGGCTGAACAGCGGTTTTTCAATCACACGCCTGATCGTACACATCCCCTACGAAACAACCGGCCTCAGACGCCCTCTATCCAGACGGGTGTGCGGAGCCTCTCGTCCCATCCGCTCGGGACGCAACAGTTACGCGGGACACAAAGTTTCTGAGACCTCTGCTCATCCTGATGCAGTTCTCCAGCCAGAGTCCTAAGGGCGGGCAAGGCTTGTGAAGGTTTCTGCGCTCAGCCCCACTTTCACCGAGGGCTGCCGGATCCCGAGGAACAAAGGCAGGGAACTCGGGTGCCCCCAGCCGAGGCTGCACCCCAAGGACGGTGCCCTTCTCCCTGCCCCACGCCGGCGCCCCCAGGATCTCTACCTTCCAGCTCACTTCTTCTCTAAGGAATTTACAGCAAAACTCACCCCGCGGGAGCCCCGCTCCTTGCGCGTTCCTTGCGGAGGTCGGCTCTTCCCGGGCCTGGCCGAAGTCATGGGTCCCGGGAACAAAACTTGCGGGCTTTAAATCCCCGGCGAGGGCCTCGCCAGCGCCGGCTCTGCTCGCGTCCCCGCGGCGAGCCGGCTGGGCTGTGGCGGGCTGGGCCGCGCTGGCCCAATCAGGGCTGCGGCGGGCGGGGGCGAGGAGCCTCCTCTGCGTCCCCTGGGTCTCCTGCGTCCCTCCCAGACCAGCCGCGTCACGGCCAGAGCCCGGCCCCCGGCCCTCGGCCCCTTCGCGCCACCGGCCACACGGCCGCCAAAGCGCCGAGCCCCGCCCGATCGCGCGCCGTCGGCGTTACCGGGCTCCAGGAAGTGAGTCCCCGCTCCTCTCGGGGGTAATCGGGTTCATTTACCTAGAGGAGCCAGAACGTACATGAATGTCCTCTTTCAGCTGTTTCCCCAGGCGCCTCACTACACCTTCTCGGAAGAATGCAGACATCTACCAGAAGCAAGAGCAAGAGTAAATAAATCCTTTATGTTCTGGGATTCATGTTTTCCAAAACTTGGCCTCGCCTTCTCCTTATAAGACAAAAGGTGAGCCTTTTGAGCGAAGTCACAGCTGAAGTGGGTTTTGTAATGATACCTACTTCAGAAGGCAACAGAAGTACAAAAGATTACTCCAAATCCTTCAGTAAAAATTAAAGTTGGGGGTTTACCACAGCAAAAAGGAACTGGAAAGAAGTTGGGAGTAGTATGCTGAGTCAGAGTATGAAACTGTAAATGCAGCATCATGTGTGTTTTTTCAAACTAGATTTTTAAGATGCTTTGTGATTGCTTTTTCCAAGCCCCTAAGCGCTTTTTTCATCCGTGAAATTCCTTTTGTGTACTAGGTACAGGGAGCGTGGCTCCCTGCTCCCTGATGTCGTCTCAGTCACTGTACTGTGGTATGGACAGGGACCCACAAGCAGCGGCTGAAAATGTGATTCACAGGAGTTACCCACAAATGGGCACACTGGTCACAAGTGCTGGGCCTCGCATCCCTTTGAGATTATAGCGCTAGCCCTAATCTCTCATCGTTTCCCCACCCAGTCTGCACATGTGGAGGGTGTCCAGACATCCAGCTGTGGCTCTGCTACCTTTAGGTACTTCGGAGTCAGGCTTCACATGATCAGACGTGTGTTCCATGTGTAGGCACATGTGGGACATCACTCAAAATAAATACAGATTGATTCAATCTTGCTAAGCACAGACAAAAGTCATGTTCACTTCACCCTGCAGACAGACACAGCGAAGAAATGATTTCAAAGTCGAGTCAGCAATGAGGAAGATTTGAGGCTTTGCATGGAGAAAGCCTGGGGATAAGCAATGGCAAGGGTGAAGTGGCCCCCAAAGCCTCTTCTGGAACCCATATATGTGTGTGAACATGTGTGTTTATGCACACACAGAAGGGGCCAAGAAAGGGAGATCCTTTGCCTATCTGGTGAGACTGTCAGAGCAAGCTGCCCCACCCCACCCTGGAGAGAGAAGATAGTGCTCCTCCAGATGGTAGGGGGAGCAGGAAGCAGTACTGAAGCTTCTGGGATGGGCTGGTGTCAGGAGTGGACTCAGGCCCCTCTCAAGGCCAAAAAGGCCTCTGAGTTAGGCCACTGTGGGGCTCACAGGAGCCAAAGGGAGTGTGCGCATCTGCCACACAAAGATCTCAAGAGTGGAGCGATTTCCTGAAAACAGTGGTTTGCTGAACACTGATCACATTCACACCAAGAGAGAGGAGCTCACATGACTAAGCTGGAGTGACAGTCACAGGCTCGAGCAGTGCCCCTGGCTGAGTCCTCGAGGCCTGAGCCAGAACACTGGGCCAGGAGAGCCCGAGGGGAGTTTGGTACAAACAACACATGCTAATTCTATGATGATAAAATGTATTTTTCAATGGTGAAAGTGGTTTTTTTTAAGTTTCTCAAAAAGGGTTCACAAGATAAGTCTTTGGCACGCAGGCCATATCATTATCAATCCATATGGTTGCCACACAGGTATGTCAGAAGTTCAGACTCAGAAAATAAATCTGAAACCAGGCAGAAGCGAAAGATGGCTTCTGTTCTGCTTACCTCATTCCATGCGCTAACACCATGAGGTGTGCATCGAAAGATATGAAGGGAAATCAAATAAGATACTTGGTAGATTTATGGTTTTTACATTCTGTGAAGTATTACAGGGCTAAGTGAAAAAACAAATGCAGTACAAAACACAATAGTCAGTATTTCAGTAAGGGAGGACATTAAGCCACTCCACAAACTATGCCAAGTGGACAAAACCCATGGCCAAAAAGTACCCAGAAGTCAGGACCACAAGAGTCCTCGGTGTTAAACTCAGCATTGGCAGCCTAACTTCTGTACACTGTATGTGTGCTGGGGAATGAGTTATAAGATGTTTGGGGTGTGACTCTAGGGTCTTGGAATTGTCAGCCAGTATTTGGAGGAGAATTTTACATTGCTTGCTACGGGCCGGTGTGTCAGGCAGATTAGAGCTGCAAGAAATGTCATGATCAAAATGCTGATACTGTGAATTAACTGCTTTTGGAACATAATAATCCAATAGTTGAACTGACCATACATCCTATCTATCTAGTAGGGCCATGTGCACACAGGGGGAGATTTGGAGTGTATTGCCCACAGGGGGGCTGGTGGTGGCATGGACAGAAGTAGGCAGAGAAGTGGCAGGATTGAGATTGGGAGCTGTCTGACCAAATGTGCCCTCCAAGCTTGTGTTATGAGGAAGCAGTGCCACTTGGGAGTGATGTCTGTGAGATTCTTTTCATGTCCTTCAACAGTGAGCACATGACCAACCTCGAGGCAGGCATACCATAAATAGTTGCCTACATTGTATAATACGAAATTGTAGAGTGGATAATTGGATTGTGACGAGCAGGGAAGTTTTGGTTGTGATTGCCAAGCCCCAGCCAACATTAATAAATGCATCAGTGAGATGGGAGTTGCCGTGCCATGGGTAGGAGTCGTGAGCACCCCCTGAACCAAAGGAACGTACACTGTCTTACTGCCCAGAAAACTGATCCAGGTCATGGTTGCCGGAGCTGCTGCACCCTGATACCTGAGCAGGGCCCATGGGGCATCATAAGGGTGAAGATTCTGGTGGCCAAACATCTATATCCAGGAAAGTTTGGATTTTATTCCACTGTTGTTTGATTTTTAACATGTTGTTTGATTTACAAGGAACAGTGTGTGGTTATAACGACACTGTGTCTCATTTTGTAGGATCTCAAGCCTTTCCTTAGAGAATTTGGAAAAAATAAGAAGAATTCAGGCCTGGGAAGAAGAATGTAAGGATAGAGCAATTTAGGAAAGAGTTGAAATCATCCTTCCTCGGTCCCCAGAGTTCACTGTGGAGTTACAAGGTGACCTTCCCACAGGGCAGCGGTAGCTGCAGGCTTGCAACATGAGGCCCTATTCAAAGACCTGTAGCAACTTTTAGAACAGGTTGGTCAGAGGAGGAAATGGGCAGTGAAGGTGGTACATTCAGTGTTTGTCATCGGGTCTAGGCCAAAAATCTGATGCAATGAAACAGGTTAAAAAAAAATTCTGAGTAGTGGGTTTCAGGATCAAGGATATGGGTTTAGAATAAGAAATGCTTATGGCTTCAGGAGTGAGAAAGGGGGTGTTTCTAGGGCACAGGTATGTTAATTACTTTTCTTGCTACTGAGACAAAATACCTGACACTCAAGATAAAAGGAAGGTTATTTAGCTCACAGTTTGTAGAGACTTCAGTCCATAATCCACTGGCTCCAAGGCACAGTGGTGTGGCAAACAGGCATTACAGAAGAGAAAAAGTTTGTGGTGGGCAAAAGGTAGCAAAGTAAGCAAGGGACAACTAACAGCTCTTTCTGTCCCTTATCCCTTATCTAGGATGCTTAGGATGGATAGCACTCATACCCCTAATCCTGTCACCCTTGAGCCCAGCATTGCTCCATGACTCAATCCTAGTGTCACATACTCTAGACCCAGCCACCTCTGTAAAAGCCTCACCTATGACTACATGTGGTGTTAAGGGACTTCTAGACACAAACCATAACAGCAGGTGTCTGAGTGCTCAACTAGCCCTGTAACATGTGGACCAAGGACAGGCTGATTCATTCAGGGTTGACTCTGTAAATCCAGCAAGGGCCTGGTGAAATGCCTGAGAGGCCACCTAATTCTCAAGAGACATCCCACCAATAAGCATGCTCAGGATGACTGGAAAAGAGTGATGAGCCATAGGTAGGTAGGAACAGGAATCCCAAGTCTGTGCAGTTCAACCTGACCTCTCTGGAAGTAGGCAATCAGGAGAATAGCTGGAACTGACAGATAAAGGTCTCTTGTGAGGCAGGTTGCTAGTGAACTTTTTGATGCACGAGGGGCATGTAGTCTGGCCACCAGACAAGGGCATGGTCTCATTATGGAGACCACTGGGACAATGCCTGATTGTGCTTGGATGATGGCATGTTCAACCATACAAGGCAAGAAGAATCCATGTATGTAATATCCTTGATAAAGTTAGGAAGGTTAAATGTGGATGAGCCCTGAAACTTGGTTTGTGGTCCACTGCCCGAGCATCTGCGAGGTGGGAAATCCCGGTGAGACAGGCAATCATCACATCAGGAGTGCTGGAGAGGATGAGTGCCTGGTTGCTACCTGTGCGATTACGCATACTATTCCAGTTAACACAAGACATCGGGCCAGGGAGATGGCTCAGTAGAATAAGCACTTCCCTGGCAAGTGCAAGGGTCTGAGTTCAATCCCCTGTTCCACCAAAAAAAAAAAAAAAAAAGTGGCTAACACAAGATGTCAGGTGTCAGCATCTGTATAATAGGACAAGGGCCCGTGGTCATTAGAAAATAAACGGGTGATTTCTGAGTAGAAATCAGGCTTGTGGTTGGTCATGGACTTATCCTTCCAGTCATTTCCTTGCATTCTATGAGCCCCAGTCGTACGAGGTACAGATTGATTAGATTTCTATCCCCAACCAACGTTCAAGGCAACCACCAACCATTGGCAGTTATCGTAAGGTGCCCAGCTCTGTGAGGAATACAGGTGGTGGTAGCCCAGCTCCTCCCACTGAGAACAGACCGCTGTCTCAAAAC